TTCTCTAAATGGGGAGGGTTCAGGTTGGGGATTAAAATACCATCCCCCTCCCCAAACATCATACCCAAAAAATTCCCCATATCCATTTTTTGTCCTTCATACCCAACCCACTAGATCGAATCCTTGCGATGATCCTTACCTACGGGGAAAATTGCCACGGCCTATTCAGACTCGCATTACAGCCACCGAATATTAGTATATATAATGTAAGCTAACAAATCCAACACCGCTCTCTCTTCCTTTCTCTCTCATAAATTAAGAGTAATCAAGACTTTTTTTTTCCCCCGAATAATCAAGACTAATTATGAGAGCTGCTTCTTCTGCCGAGAAGACAACCCTGATTGGGTCAATTGGTAAGTTCATAATGGGAACCATCCTCTTTTGCGTCTTCCTAACAATTATGATCTGGTCAATCATGTAGATCCCTGTTTCACCTCCACTTCGCTACCTTGTCCCTTCCTAGCGTGTCTGCCTCTGAATTCACCGCCACGTAGGACGTGAAGATCGTCACATTCAGCCCCAACCACAAGCTCAACATCTCATTCAACAGCCTGTAGGCCACGATCTTCTACGAAACAGACCCTAATGGAAGACTAGCAGTCTTACTGGCGACGAAATCGGTGCCGCCCCCCTCATTTCTAACCACAAAGGCCCAGACCACTCATCGTTTCAGAGTCGAAACGATGTTGGCGTACACAGCTGATGATGTGGCCAAACAAATCTCCAAAGGGAGAGCTCGAGGAGGGGTGTGGTTTGAGCTAGAGATGTTGCTTTGTATAGGTATACCTCGTATGATATTGGTTCCATAATGGTTACGGCTTGCAACCTGGTCGAGTTTGGGTTTTCCTCGGGTAATTGGACCGGGGTACTGACACAAACTGGTCAGCCAGTGGACAATGGTGCAACCATTACTCATACATAATATCAGTGGCGGATCCAGGATTTAAAAGTCAGGTAGACGAAACTTACCTTAAAAACTCGACAGTACGAGTGAATTTCATTCATAAAAATAAAAACATAGACCTAGTCGGGGAGAGTGTAATGAGATTTACTCTCAGATGTAAAAACTTAACAACAAAAAAAACTAAAAAAACAAATTAATGCAATGCAACAAAAAACTAAACTATTTAAATTTAAAACTAAATTAAACTATTAAAAAACTTAAGATGCATACATTTATTTTAGGAAAAAACCAATAGAAGAATACTGATTGGCCTTAGATATGAGAAAATGCTACCAAGAGAGAATGCCCAGACTCAAGAAGAAGCTGCAAAAGATAATGATTTGGGACTGTCGACTATTGCACAGCCGAAGAGGAATTGGCTGCTTACTTATATTGCTTCCCTCCCTTTTCTTTTTTTAAATTTGGCTGGGCCATATAACACGTGGATTGCTCTTAAGTTTGGGTAGACATGGGTTCACACCATTACATGTAATGGGTAGAAATAGCTTTGCTTACATATAGGTTTTTTTTTTTTGGTGAAAAGTTTGGGTAGGCAGCCCTTGCTGTAGAACTGCCACTGCATAATATAGAAATTTTCTTTTTAACAAGATGAGGGATTCAAGTCAATTACTTTTTCAAAACTTCCATATGCTAATCGGGGTCTGGTCTGGTGGAAAAATGACATTGATTTGCAGACCAGCAGTTATATGTTCGAATTCTCATAAATTGTATGTGAATGAGAAACTTCCCTCCCTATTAGTTTTGTATTAGAAAACAAAAACAAAAACAAAAACAAAAACTTCTATATATGACCTTACTTACCCAAAATCAACGAAGAAAAATATAATTTTTTTATAATAAAAAAAAATGTCTCTCATCATTCTTCTTCCTGCTCTTATGTGGCTTTAGTGTAATTATCTGTTATTTCTTTTGTGTAGTATATTCGTTTATCACTTGGGATTACTTTATGAGGAAGGTATTAAAAATCGATTTGATTTATATATATAAAAAAAAAAGGAAACAAAAAAAAGAAAAGAAATTTGCATAAATATTACCTAAACTTTTAGCTATGTGTGTGATTACCCTATAAAATTTCAATTTTTGCTATTAACCACATGAACTTTTTGCAAAGTGTAGTAATTTACCTCCTATTATAACTACGTTAAAATTTACTTTAAATAAAGTCACATGTTGAACATGTGATATTTTTTAGAGTAAACTGCCGAATGCCCCCCTGAACTATTTCGACTGTCGAACTTAGCACCCTAAATTATTTTTTCAACCAATTTAGCCCTTAGACTAGTTTAAATGGTCAATTTAGCTCATGTTGTTAGTTTTCATCCAATTTCATCTAATTTTTCGTCTAAATGTTACATGTTAGGCACGTGATTTACTGTTTAATTAAAATTTAATTTTAATTGTTAAAACTACAAAACTAAAAAAGAAAAAAAAATGGAAGGCAATCAACGTCTTCCCCAGCCCCTTCTCCCAAGACTCTTTGTCTACAATCCCACATCCACAAGGGTTTTCGAGTGAATGCCAATAGTTGGTATGTGTACATAAACATATAATCAGAATCAAGATATGTTTTCATCTTCATCATCACCTACGCATGAATAGTAAATTGCTACACTTTATAAAGTTTAGGTGGTTAATAATGAAAATTAAAAGTTTAGGTGGTAATCTCGTACATGTCTAAAAGTTCAAGTGGTATATATGCAAAATTCCTTTTTTTTTAAAAAAAATTTAATTCAAAATCAATTTTTGTAAATTTTGTAAATTCGTTTTCTACAAGCTAACTTGGTTTCCTATCAAAGATATCACACACGTGCGAAGTTAAAGAACCCCTAGCCGCACGTGTGCTGCACGCTATATTCATCCTTTTGATTTGAAGCCGACAAACCCCAAAATACAAAATCACGGAGCAAGAGCAACACAACTAGGGTTTTAGGTTTCTCAACGTCAGGCTCTGTTTCGCATAAATTTTGTAGGAAGAAAAAGAGCTTCAGAGAAATCAAAATGTTTCCGGGAATGTTCATGAAGAAGCCAGACAAGGCAGAGGCTCTGAAGCAGCTGCGAAGCCATGTGGCCATGTTTGGGGCTTGGGTCGTTGCGATCCGGGCCGCCCCCTACGTTCTTCACTTCCTCTGCGGTGAAAAGGATGAGCTCAAGCTTGAATTTTGATACACATCTCATTATATGAGGTAGTTTTGGATACCATCTTGCTCTTATTTTCTCGGTTTTGTTAATTGATTTTGTTGGTGGGTTTTCAATTTATGCAATTTGTTTCTAATTTTTAGAAATTTATGAATTGAATATTGGTGTGAGATTCAGAACTCATAACAAGGTTGTTTTAATT